ACTCGCGGTGCGCGCTCCCTCTCTCCTCCTTCCCTTCATGCCCACGGAGGAAGCAGCAGCCACCCGCAACCGCCAGCACACGCTACAAAAGAAGCATCCAAATCCACTGCAATGTGCATTCTGTGCGTGCATGTGGTTGTGTGTGCCTGCAGACACACGAAGCAAAGAAGTAAAAGCAGGAGCAGAGCATGTGAAGGGACGCACAAACAAAACTGTACAGCAGAAGCGCATGGCAGAAATAAAGGGAAAAAGACTGCTCAAGCTCGTGATATTGCACTGCAGACAACGCAGCGGCAATTCATAAAAAATTTATTAGAATTTTAAAAAATTCATCTTCACCTTTCCACCTCACACTTTGGAAACAATAAGAAAACGAGAAAAGATAAAAAGAAAAAATTTTGAAAAAGTCGTCCTCTATTACGGCTACACACAAATAATAAAAAAGAAAAAAGAAAAAGAAAAGCCACACAAAAAAAATTTCACCTGCTTACCGTGTGCGCCCACCAAACCGCTTATATATTTTGCCCACAAATTAAAAATTAAATATTTAAATGTCTTTCAACCGTCCAACCCTCCATGTGTGTCCGCACATCGTTTATATTTCATGGGGTCATCTGCGTGTTGCTGCTCCCCTCAGCCCTTTCATCGGCGCGTGAGTGCGGCCTGCAGAGCACAGTCACTCGTGTGTGTGTGGGGACTGAGAGAAGCACGCAGAAATGACGGGAGTCGCGTCACTCCATCGGGGAGTGAGCGCAGAAAAGAAAAAAAATCATCGGAGGGGAGAGAAATGCTCACGAGGCCGACACCGAAGGGTGCGCCAGCGCAAAAAAAAAAAAACGCAAAGAAAAATCCTTAAAAAGCGGCAGGGTGTGGCTGTGTGTGTGTGGCGCTGCGGGTGTCTGCCCGCCCTAGCCGCAAGAAAACAAAACAAGAGGGAAAGAAATGTGTGCTCCGCCCCACAGGCCCTCGTCGCACGCCCACACGTCACGGCTCCCTCAGCGCGCCGTTCGTCGCGGCCCCTCCTCATGCGTGCAGCAGGCGAGGCGCACAGGGCCGTCGTCACGAGCCTGTCGGTGGGTGTGCGAGTGGAGCAGTTGGGCGGGAAACACACGGCACCCCTCGCAGGAAGAGTGCAGAAGAAACAATTGAAAAGAGTAGAAAAGAAAAAGAGGTCCATAGTGGTTGCCCCAAAAGCAAAAAAAAAGAAAAGATGGGGGATGAAAAATAAAAATTTAAAATTTAAACAAATTAAACCATTAAAAATGAAAAAAAAACG